TGACCCACGAAAGCTTATGCTCCCAGTACTTCTGTTAGTCTCAAAGGTGCCACAGGACCCTTTGTTGCTTTTTAAGTGAGGAGTTACTGTATGTATATACACACACACACGAATATAAACCTTGAAAACCCCAGCAAATTCAGGGTTTTGCCCTACGTCTTTTTTGTACGCTGAACTATTTTACAATTCCACAAACGTCAATATTACAAACAATTCAGCTCTTCACAGAAATTCATGCAATAAAGGACTGTCAGTACTGTTCCATTCTACTTTTGCCCTGTTTTTCCTTCTAGCTCAGTCCTGACAACTTGTCCAATACTTACTGAACTTTTTCACACAAGCAGTAACTATGGTTTAGAATCTAACCAATTTTTATAAGTAGAATCCGACGGGAAATAAGTGTCTCTTCAGTTTTGTTTGGTTACTATTCTCAAATAGGGCAATTTGTTTAAATGATGGTGGAGACATTAAATTCATGACAGATGGAAATTATTCACTGAACTATACCTAACTGCTTTATACTTTGTATGTAGCTAACCAAAATATGCTACATTTCTTATGGAATTCCATCTGAATAAAATAATTTTCTAACAGGAAAGGCAGAGGAGACAGTAGAATACAGCTTCCGCCGCCCGTGCCCCTCCTAAAGTGATCCATCTCAAATTTAAACTTCTCCAAAATTATATGAACTATGAACACTGCCTACTCTAATTACATGACAACCAACAGACCACACACCTTCTCTCAAGGATTGGCGGGGGGGAGGGAGGGTTCTTATGTTTGATTATGTTATATTTAGAATTTTATCAAGGAAAAACAGTTGCTCTTGTGTATTTTTGGCTTGTTGTGTTATTTAAATTAGCATGTATATGCAAAACCTAGTAAAAATGTAGATAACAGAAACATTGTTCAGTAAGAACTAGATTTTGCCCTTATATGATTGTGATCCTTCCCCCCCCCCTCCACTTTAGTAGATCTCTTCTCTAATTTATTTCTTTAATAGGATTTGCACTCATCTAGGGGCAGATTTGCCCCTTAATAACAAAGAAAAAAATAAACTTCAAACATTACTTAATGAGAAGAAATGAAAGCCTTACCCAGCGGCTATGAAAGCCCCAAGAATGATGGTAAATACACTGACTATAATACCCAGTGAATATCGTTTCCTGTAACAAAAATTAAACAAGTCCATATTTAGAATATTAGAAGAGAAACTAACTGGCTTCCAGTCCATTTAAAAGGCTTCAAAAACAATTAGTATTTGGAAAAAGCTAACAGAAGGACAAATCTTGGTAGCCCTAAGCAGGAAAAGTTCTTTCTGACATCAAAGAGAGTTCTGCCTGTAAGATTACTTTGCTAATCTTGTCATAATTTAAATATAGTCTTTTTTGAGATATTGTTATTGTAACAAAATGCTAATGCTCTAATACTTTGGGTTCTGTAAACATAGCTCAATAAACAGGGTCACAAATTGTCAAAGGTCCTCTGCTGCTAGATAATTTCCAAAGTAAAGCCAAGAAAAATATGTTTCAATGCTGGTGACAGTGGGACAAAGTCTGCCTCAGGTACACTAATGCAACCGCAGTCTTCAATGGGGTGGCATTTGTGTAACTGACAGTATGATTTGGTCTATTGATTCTGGGGCTGGTTATTACAACTCTAATTTCTTTTATACCAAACAACTGATTTATTTTTAATTAATTTGGCCAAAGAATGCTGTTTACACAGACTGGTAGATGCCCACTTTGCCTTATTGAGCAAGTACATTTTAAGGCCCAACCCACTAAGCTGTTCTGCATGAGCAGCCTCCTGCATAGCTCCACTGACTTCCACAGGGCTCCATGTGGGCATAAGGCTCTGCCTGTTTGGAGCAGTTTGCAGGATTGGTGTCTAAAAAGAGCAGACCTTAGCCTAACAAACAACAATTTGGACCAAACCCTGCTTATGTTACTCAGGCGAAGTGAAGTCACTGGACTCACTCATATGAATTAAGATGAGCGGATTTTGTCCTAGATCCACAAAAATGTATATATTTTTTATTTTCACAAATAAATTCTAACTAGTTTCTATACTCTTCTCTGAGTTTTTCTAATCAGTGAAAATCAGCCATGCAACATCCTGACTGAATACCACAAATCCTCCACTTGGTAATGACATAAAATAAAAGGTATTTTGCAAATGAAACAAACAAACAAACAAAAATCACCCAAGTATGATGATTTCCAGCAGTAATGTAAGTGGAATGGTAAACTTCCTGAGCACTGTAAACATCGGCAAACTGTCCAAAAAAAGGAAAAAAGAAAAAAGAAAAAAAATGATCGAAGCACTGTGTCAAATGCAAAGCATTTTTATTCGCTTAATTCTTACCTAAATTCACTAAGCAGAAGATGAACTAAATAGACTAGCCTTAAGAAGATAGCAAAATGAATTCTCAGCCTGTTACCACACATAAAAATGTCAGTCTGACACCAGAGTCAGATTAGATAACATAATCACTGCAAATAAAGAGTCCTGCCAATTTTTCAAAACAAACTAAACTTGGCTACCTGTTGCAAAGCTCCTCAGAGTTCGAAAAGAGGAAAAGGAATAGAAATCATTATTTTCAAATTCTACCTAATGCAGCCCCTCTGAATTGATGTTTTCTGTAGAAATCCTGGTTATAAGGAAAAGTTAATTAAGGAAAGTATTTGTGGTTTTTAGTTGTCTTCCATGCATTAAGCGATAGTTTTATTGGAGAAAATTTAACCTCTGCTTTTGTTCTTCATTTCATCTCCCTCTCATGTGTATTCTGTTTCTCTCAGCTGGAAATTAGGACCATCAGCCCCAGCTCCATAGACTACAGTTTGGGACCCTCCAGTGTAATATTATTGGAAATTGTTCCCTGGGCACTACTGCAGCCTCAGGTGCTACTACAACCATGCTGCCTCTGATTCCCTTCCACAGGGAGCTCGGTCACTCAATTCATATAGCAGATCCTAGATCATCTCAGTCCTGCCAATAATCCTTATACCTGCACCCCTGGTGTGAAGGCAACCACCATGGAGTAGAAAATGTAAGTATGTATGCCTTCTGTATGTCCTGTCCACAGCCTGCCCTTCCTACTACATGTGAATTCCATCCCTCCCCTGTACCATTCTACGTAACTCATGCAAGACTTTTGTATACAAAGGAAAACAATAAATAAATAAATACCTAGGTCTTATTTAGGGCTTTTCACCATAGATCTCAAAACTATTCATATGCACGTAAAGGCATTTTTCTTACAGGTTTCACCCCACTTGTTGGGCTACAAATGGAATGCTGGCCAGTCACATGAAGAGAGGAAAACATTTAACAAACACATTCATCTATGCAGTGAAACTGCGTTCACACTCTCTGTTGGTACAGACCATGCTAATCTCTCCTAAAGGCAGCACAGAGATTGTAAACTGATCAGCTGCTTTGGTTGAGATTTGAAAAGCAGTGCAGGGGATTTAGTCATACATCATCCATTAAAATTAATGTGCAGCTAAGTCCCCGGCATTACTTTGAAAATCTTAACCTTTAACCTTATACTTTGTACCTACAAGAATAAAATTATAAAATCCAAATGGTCTAGCTACGACCTGCGCTTACTGTACCTTAGTTTGCTGGTGCTTGTTAATCCACTTATGTGATTTCCAACATAAAGCAGAGGCAGAGGAAACAACTGCAATAAAGTCAGAGCACAATTCACATTAGACCTATGCTTTACTATTGAGGAACTTTGAGTTATTTTAATAGTGTAAAATTCCTTCATTCCTGAAACAGATTCTTTTTCTTAAGGGGGGGGGAAAGAACCTCACATCCACTGACTTTATCAAACTCAGATCCTTGACTGGTGTTCATTGGCATAGCTCCATTGACTCCAATAGAGCAACACTGAATTACATTAGCTGAGGATCTGGCCCAATATATGTTAAAAAAGAAATATTCAGCACTTGACTGGTTTCACTTTTGCAAAATTAATACTTGATTATTAGCCTAGACCTACTGGTTTTATTTAGATTTAAAACAGAAAGCAATTGAGCAGGTGGAATGAAAGCACGACTGATCTTCTGTAAGGACACAATAGAGTACACAGAGGAGGTATGTATAGAAAAAGATTATTTTAAGTACAGCTATTGAGGAGTCTTAGTGAACAATAATATAAACTATACACACTGCTGAAAAGAAAAATTAAATGTTTAGGGCTAGGTTAGATTGTAGGCCCTTTAGGGCAGCACCTATAACAATGTGGTCCTGACACTGTAGGGTTGCCAGGCATCCAGTTTTCAGCCCTAGCTCCACGCGGCTCCCAGAAGTGGCCACCAGGTCCTTGTGACCCTAAGCGTATGGGCAGCCAGGGAGACTCCGGGCACTGCCCCCTCCCCTAGTGTCAGCTCCTCGGTGCCCATTGGCCAGGAACCATGACTAATGGGAGCAACGGGGGCAGCACCTGGGAGCGTGAGCCTCCCTGGCCACTCATGTGCCTAGGGGCTGCATGGCAGGGACCTGGCGGCCGCTTCCTGAGAGCCACGGTAAGCACTGCCAGGACTCTGCACCCCAACCCCGTCCCAGCTCGGAGTCCCCTCCCACACCCAAACTTCCTCCTGGAGCCTGTACCCTGCCCCAGCCCTGAGCCCCCTCCTGCACCCCAAAACTCTTATGCCTGGCCCCACCCCCAGAGCCTACACCTCCAGCCAGAGTCCTCAAACCCAACCCCACCCCCAGCCCAACCCCCTGCCCCAGCCCGATGAAAGTGAGTGAGGGTGGGGTGCGGTGGGAGAGCGAGCAATGGAGGGAGGGGGGATGGAGTGAGCGGAGGCAGGGCCTTAGAGAAGGGGTGGGGCACAGGCGGGGCCTCGGGGCAGGAGTGTTCGGTTTTGTGTGATTAGAAAGTTGACAACCCTATGACTCTGACAGAAGCCTTTGGGCCCTACCACAATACAAACAAATAACAATAGATTGCATCTAGCCCGAAAAGAGCATGCAAGGAGCTATGTATCCCTGACACAGAAAGACCATGGGAGTCTAAAGCCAACAGAGGTAACCAGAGGGGATGGAGAGGAGCCATAGCTCTGGCCTGGCTCTGCATGAGCTAGCAGAGCTGGACCGGCATGGGGCGGGGGAAAAACATGTCTCAACATGCCTGATGTTGCTGTGTGTGTTCCCCAAGAGACACTGAATTCTGTGCTTTTAAAGCTCTATGTGACAAAAGCATATAGACATGAACATTTTATTTATTTTTTAAATTATGCAATATTTGCTCTCAAGTAGAAGGGAAGAACAAAGGAGACGGAGGCGGAAAAAGGCGACAGTTTATTTATAGCCTATAAATCTCTCATGACCCTGCAAACATTTAGTAATAACAACCCCCTGCTGCAGCATGTTATCCAGAAAGAGAACTTTAGATATGGGGTGAAAATGGAACTTAGTGCAATGGAAAAGAGAATATATTTTCACTTATTGTAATGGTGAAAAACCACAGACAACTGCAGCTCACCTTGCACAATCCCAGAGGGCAGTGAAAAATTAGCCAAACAAAAGCCAAATACTGAGAGCTTCTCCCACTGAAATCAGCAGTTTGCAGGCTCAGGTCTCAAATTCAAAGTTCAGATTAAATTTATCTGCAATTTAAAGATTCTCCATCTCAAATGTGGGTCCAATCATGCTAACTGCTGAGCACCCTCAACTCTAGATTTGCGCTACTGCCCCTTAGTACCAACCTACCCACTGAGACAGGTGTCCCCCCTGGTCATAGCTGTTCCTGCAAGACTTCTATACACAGAAGTCCTAGCTTGGCATCTAGCAGGAGGCCTTTTTGTTTCATTTTGTGGCCTCTGGCTCTCCTACAGCATAATGGATAAGAGCAATGCTGGAATACTCTATGCTGGGAATGAGAAGCCACAGTGACATAAGAGAACTTGAAAGTGAAAGGGAGTCTAACTGTGCTACAGTTAATTACAGCCTAAACACACTTTACAAAGTAAAAGAATCAACAAATATAAATGCAACTGGTGTGCTGAGACTAGGAAAATCTGGTATTACGGCTGGTAAATAACTGCTGAAATGTTGCAACACCGATTGCTCAAGATATAGTCCCAGAAAACCTCCAAAGCATTAATATTGAAAAATATAAAAGGAATGCCTGGCACCAAGGGTACAGCATGGAAAGAATGTATGTGGGGAGCAGTTTGGATGGGGAAAAAGATGGTCTCAAGGATCCAATACATTTCTGAGATTTGCGCTACTGCCCCTTAGTACCAACCTACCCACTGAGACAGGTGTTCCCCCTGGTCATAGCTGTTCCTGCAAGACTTCTATACACAGAAGTCCCATTGATTTCAATGGGAATTCCATGTAAATAGGGCTCATGGGATCAGGCTCTTTAGTTGTAAGGTGTGTTCATGGTAAAACTTCTTAGGCCCTATAGGAAGGATGGTTCTGTAATTAAGGTACCAGACTGGGACTGAAGAGATCAATGGAAGAGCTGGGAATTGAACCCAGACTTCCTGTGTGACCTTGGGCAAAGCATTTAGGCCCTGATCCTGCAAAACGATGCACACGGGCAGACCTCTGCACCCATCCAAAGTCCCAGTGACTTCCATGGCATTCTGCAGTGATGCAACAGTCTGCCTATGTGCATTTCACTGCAGGCTCAGTGCCTTATTCACTCTGTGCCTCCATTCCCAGTATGACAAACTGAGATAATAGATCCTTTCTCCTATCCTTTGTCTAGGGTGACCAGACAGCAAATGTGAAAAATCGGGATTGGGGTAAGGAGTAATAGGAGCCTATATAAGAAAAAGTCCCAAAAATCGGGACTGTCCCTATAAAATAGGAACATCTGGTCACCCTACCTTTGTCTTGTTTTTTCAGACTATAAGCACTCTTACTATGTGTATGTAGTGCATGTAGTAAAATGGGTCCTGTTTACACATAAATAATAATAATAGTGTTTTCCCACTACAGAATACTGGAGTCAAACTGTGGGGCTGATCTGAGAAGATAATTTTATTGTTAGACACTACCGTCTCAAATGCATCCTCTCTCATGCTAAACACAAACTATATAATCAAACTGCAATTTAATTCTGTCTCTATAAAATGCAAGATGGTTATAGTGAAATTAAATTATCTACTTACAACAAATTAATAAAATAAAGATATAAAATCAAAATTTCGTGGAACATCTGGAAAAATCAGAATGTTTGCAATTTTTCCATTGTACCTTCTGTCCAAAGAAAACATTTTTGAAAAACCACAGTAAGAAGACTATTGACAAAGGTATAATTTCCTTTTAGTTTCAAAATCCAGACTTTTCATACCTTCACAGGGATACTTTTGTCAAAATCAGGGAAGTGAATAATCTTATTTAATTTTGACACATACAGAATAAGTATGGTGGTTGCCATCTAAAATAAGAAAAGAAAAGCAAGACACAATATAAGAGCCAAACGCTATTTTAAACTTACATATAAAATAACTGTTTCCCTCTTGGGCTCTATTCTCCCCACCCATTCCTTCTTTGAGTCATCAACTCTTTTCATTCCCAGTGTAGACAAATGTTTAGATATCTCTTTAACAAAGATTTCTCCCTTTCTCCTGCTACACCATTGTGCTCAGCTTTATTGTCCCCTTGGCCTCTGTAATCAAAGAACAAAAATTATGTGGATCCCTATTAGCAAACTGCAAGGGAATTCGAGAAAACTATGAGGGAATGCAGACACAGTGCCACCACACATAAATCCCAGGTCTTCAGTGGATCCCCTGGGATCCATATGGATCCTGGGAACTAGCAGATTTTGAGGGCTGAGCATCTTGTTGACTGAATTTTGCAAGAGAAAGTTTGTAGCATTTCCAGTCCTCTACATGGGTTTTCCCCCATAAGGGATGAATTGGATCCTAATTTCCTCCAGGTTATTAAAAAAGATAAACTGTGACGAAGAGTGATTTCTTCCATAACAGTATTATTGCACTGTAAGGGCTGGTCCACACTAACCCCCCAGTTCGAACTAAGATATGCAACTTCAGCTACGTGAATAACGTAGCTGAGTCGAAGTACCTTAGTTCGAAATACAAGGTACTTACCGCGGGTCCACACATGGCAGGCAGGCTCCCCCGTCAATTGCGCGTACTCCTCTCGCAGAGCAGGCGTACTGGCATTGACAGTGAGCACTTCCGGGATCGATTTATCGCGACTAGACAAGACGTGATAAATCGATCCCAGAAGATCGATTGCTTACCGCCGAACCCGGAGGTAAGTATAGACGTAGCCTAAGATGAAAGCACTTAATTTCATTATCAATCTTTATCACCAGGGTTGGTCTGCACACAAACTTTCACCACAATAGCAAAACGTATGTATTAGACCCTATTTTGGTGCAAGTCTGCATGTAGCTTAAGAAATCAATCTTAACTACAGTATATTAAGTTTTATTGTTGAACATACCTGTCCAATTCCAAGAACCATTGGAGATGGGAATCTGAAAAGAAAAGAGAACTATAAATGCACATACCACAACAACAAAAGTGTGAGGAAGCAATAGGGTTCCTATTCCTTTAGGCCAATCTTATCAAAAATGGGTGTCTAAATCCATGTTAGATACCTACATGACTGGCCAAATTTTCAAAAGTGCTGAGCAACCGGCAACTGTCACTGAAGTCCCAGGTAATCTTGCACTATTTTAGTCAAAGGCAATTTCCTCCCCCCACCCCCTACCCCCCAAAATGCAATACATCACAGGCTGTATAAATGTTGCAGAAACATACATTGGCTGCTAAAAAAAAAGCCTATTTCTCCACCCTGTGGATTGGCTTCAGCCCAAACCAAAGATACTTCAATGGAAGGGATGCAGTTTGAGTAGGATATTTGTAGAATCATAAAGCCCCCAAGGATCTTTTTTTAATCCATAATAAATTAATTAAAAAAAATGTTAAGGCACTAATTCTCCATGGGTATCTTGATGTTAGGAGATGGGTCTAGCAACAAGTGTCTACAGATGCTTCTTATTCCATAGAAACACAGGCTGGAATCTGTGGGTGCAAACTCGTTAAGTGCTGAGTGACCTCAACTCTTCATGAATTTAATAGTCACTGCTTCCCAGGAGGCACTTAGCATCTCTCAGGACTGGTTGGCACCAGGGTTGGTCTGCACACAAACTTTCACCACAATAGCAAAACGTATGTATTAGACCCTATTTTGGTGCAAGTCTGCATGTAGCTTAAGGCCTTGTCTACACTACGAGAGTAGTTCGATTTTCCTTGCATCGAATTTTTGTAATCGATAT